CAACATATCTTTTTAAACTATTGATAGAGCAAGCAGAAAACAATCATCATGGATTTTGAACACACATGTTTAATATTTATAAATTCTGCAAATAACATTTAGAGGAACTAATTTTTATAAAGAACACACAAATATTTATCAAAATGATACTTTACTTGACAGAAAATGAAAGCCTCAACACATTACAAAAACATAGTTATTATATATAATGATCTTTGATCACAATACAATGAACTTAGAAGTTAACCAAAACACAAATAAAAATAGTTTTTAGATTTAGGAATTAAAAAAAATAGACTGCTAAAAATTTTATGGGCTTAGAATAAATTGCAACAATTCTTTATCATTATTCTTAGAAATATGTTGAAAATATTAAATATATATGCTTTGGGATACAATAACAGCAATGCTTTAGGAATAACTTACAGTTTTGGAGACATATTAGAATAGGATCAAGGAAATAAGAATAAAAGAAATGATAAAAACAAGAATAAGAAACAATGAAAAAGGAACAAAAAGATAAAATAGAGAAGATAAACCACATCAAAAGTTAGTTCTTTGAAAAATAACCTAGCATAATAGGCAAAAGTTTTGTAAAGTTAATGGAGAAAAAATAAAAGACAAAAATGATGCAAATATTGAATAAAGAAGATATAATACATAAAGTAGATCTAAAAAATAAAAGTAGACAGCAAATAACTAAATGTCAACAGCTCTGAAAACTTAGACAAAATGAACAAATTACTTGAAAGTATATCTTACCAGAACTAACCCTAGAAGAAATAAAAAGCCTAAATAGCTCTATAGCTGTTAAAGAAATTGAAACTGTGGCTTAAAATCTCTCAAAACACAACAAACACACACACACACACACACACACACAAACCTACACACCCAAACACACACACACCCCCATCAAATAAAATGTAGAAAACCACTAGTTCTACATGGTTTCCACATTTAACTTCTACCATACTTTAAAGCAACACATAATCTCATTTTTATACAAAGCCTTTTAAAGTAAAAATAGGAAATAGTTCCTAACCAATACTAAAAAAGACAAAATAATTATGTTATCAAAAATATCAGTGAGATCACCACATTAGCAAATTAAAAAACAACAATTATATAATCTCAGATGCAGAAACAAATTGACAGAAATAGTTCTTCAGAGTTAAGAAATACAATTCGTGGTATATTAGAAATAGAAGATAATATTTTTAACCCAACAAATATCTTTAAAATAAAAAAGATATCTTTAATGAAAAAATATTAAAGGTGCTTTTAAAAAAGAGAAGTAGAGATATCATCACTGCTCTTTTTCAACATTGTATTTGATGTCTCAGCAATAATTATATTATTTCAGACAAATAGTTTATTTCCTTCTTTCCAATCCTTATGTGTACAATTTATGTTTATTTTATTATAAATAATTATTTTATTTATAAAT